GACAACAGAGAGTACAATAAATAGGTTGAACTTGCACACCTGTTCATTCCCGCTCACACTTGTTTTCCGGTCTCGTCGCATGAATCAACTACGTCTCTTTTCACATGGAACGAATGTCCCTGGTTATTGCATTTCATAATTTAGAAAAAAAAGAAAAAAAAATCATGTGGTATTAGAGAAGTCCAGAGATAATATTAATGCTGAGTATGATGATTAAGATTGAAGTGTTGAATGATGCCTACCGATCCATAAGAAATGACATCAAATTTTAATCTAAATTCCTTTTCTCGAACACAGTTAAAATGTTTGTTTTGCTGAAACATCTGTTGTGCATAAATGTCTGTGAATAGAAGTAATGAAGGAGGTTTAGTGGTCATATATTTTATTATGGTTCTCAGTATCATGTTCGTTGAGGTAATTATGTTTATTGATGTTCTTGCTGTTATTGTTATTTCTATTATCATTGTTATTGTTATTATTATTTTTGTTATTTTATCATTTTTGGTATTACTATTATTATTGTTATTCTTATTATCATTATTGTTATTACCATTATTTTTTTTTTTTTTGTTATATTATTATTATTATTATTATTATTATTATTATTATTATTATTATTATTATTATTATCATTATTATTATTATCATTATTATTATTATCATTATTATTATTGTTGTTGTTGTTGTTGTTGTCGCAGTTACATTTACCATTGCTATTATCATCCTCATTGTCATTATCATTATCATCATCGTTATTATTATTATTATCATATCATCATTATGACCATTATCAGCATTGCAATAATAATGATGATGGTGATGATAACAAATATTTTTGGGATTATGATATTGGAGTCTGTCAAGCTACACTTTTTACCCAGTCATCCGAACAACTTACATATCTTAAGATTACTGACCTACAAATAATCCAGCTTTACCAGGAATGGTCTTCTTTATACGCAATAACCTATTTTTCCCCCTCATAGTCACATTATTGCCTAGTCTTATTATTGCAGTAATCACCAAGCATTATTCTTGCAATGTTCAAAAGTAAAATGGAATTGAGGCTCTATAAGTACCTGCGAAAGAGAACAGGTTATCACTGTGTCATCAAGTTCCCAGGCACGAATCTTTTCTATTCATCGAAGAGTACAGTAGTATTTAGGCCGACTGGTCACAAGTGGAGCCCGGTCATGGTAGGTCGGGACAGGCAGATTTATTGAATGGCTGCATAAAATTATTTGTCAACTAAGTAGCTACGATCATTTCCACCGTCTTCTGCATTTGCACTGGTTACCGACACACGTCACATGTGTTTGTGCTTATTGCATTGGACCAAAGTCAGTCAGTTATATGCAAAGAAAGAAGTATGTTCAGTCAACTTAAAATAAGAAAACAGGTCCAAGTGTAGTTTAACAAAGCAAGGCTGAAATTCACTAGAAACCTATGGTTCAAGAGAGTGAGATAGGATTCAGTGGAGCCGAAGATGCTAAACAAATGATAGCCACGAGGACACTTGGACACCACATGGCACCGCTCTCAGGCCTCATTCCACCTTCGCAAAGAACAGACGTCTCTTCTTGGCCTCGCTTCAAAGGCGTCGTGTAGTGCTCCTAGAGTCGTGTGGCGCCCCACGGAAGGAACGTCATTCTTGCTTTTTATTTTTCGCCTTCGGATATTGCCTTTGTTTACATCGGCGATATTGCCATAAAAAGTCGTTAGAAGCCCTGTTGGTGATTTAGGATTTGTGCTGCAAGGCCCACGTTTTCCTCCTGTTCGGTGTCCATTGACTGATAGTAAAGTATTTATGATGTTCAGCATTGCCATCATATGTTCAGTTTTTCCATCGCCATTTTTCGTTCAGCTTTAGTTTACTCTTTTCATTTGTTTTTATGTTCAGTTTGCCTTTATTTCAACATATGTATTCTTTTTTGTTCAGTTCTATATGATATGATAATGTTTTATTTATTTATTTTTTTTCGTATAACCTCTGTCAACCATTGTGGTTCTGTCAATTCTTATTTTTCTAACAAGTAAGAATGAGAAATAAATAAGAAAAAAAAAACAATGATGCTAATGAGACACTACATCCGCACCACGTTCTTTGTGTTTCTGTTGATTGCAATGTGGTGCAGCGGTAGCGATCTAGCAATCTTGCTGACCCGCTTTCAAATCCCTCGTTGCCAGTGGATGGTAACCCTGGCCGTTCCTTGCACATAGGGGATAATTTAAAAGCAAAATGAAATAGACAGTATGTCATACCAAGAATATCTATTGTAACAAAAGGAATCAAACTAAATAAAAATATATATATATATAATTCTTAAGGACGCTGTCGCTTACCCGAGAGTCCATTTTAACCCTCGCGTGACTGTTTTAGTAAGAATTAATACTCTTAGCCGATCGTTAGTTTTTCTGTTCCCAAGAGAAGAAAATAAACAAAAGAGAGGACTATACACCATTGGATATTATTACCCGTTACCATTTGTGATACAGTATA